ATATATTTCTGAAAAGGAATCCAGACAGATTCTTTTATAGTCCATCTATCTGTCCAACACCAACCCATGAAAGCTCACCCCATCACAGCGTTCTCACCTCACATACATTCATCTCTATGCCAACATGAGTGCCAGCCAACCCTCTCTCCTACAGCACACACCCCCCCTCCTGCACACACACCTGCGCAAACACACACACACTCACATCCCAGTGGCGAGTGGTCCACTGTCCGGGATCAAGCCAAGGTCAGCTGTGTGATTAGCGCTTAGCGCCGGAGGCTAGCACTGGCAGGCAGTTCCCCTTAATGAAGCCATCACTGCATGGAGAGAGTGAGAGAAATACTGCCAGTCGGCCCAACTGGACCCGCCTGATTTACAGCTGCAGCAGTCTACACATCAGCCGTGCTCAGAGAATATATGGAGACGTGGGTAGAAGAATAGTTAAAACGTCAGTGAGTGACAGGCTGATGATTTAACGCCAGCTTCCTGTTCATTGGCATTTGGCAAGTGACACATTTTTTGACAATTTTTCACTGGAAGTATATAAATTTTACGTTTTATTTGGATTTTGAACAATGACACTGAGGGGAACACAGAAAAGTAGTAGAAAAAATAAAGGAATATAAAATAAGTTCATAAAACTTTAAGGGGGGTGTTAGCTCATGAGTTCAGTTTTACTGAAGTACACAGCTCACTCCTAAACAACTTTTTTGTTTTTTTGTCAATAGTGCTTCACAACAATTAATTGTGTCCCTTTCTGTCTTATACTTATACTTTTCTACATTTTTAATGAAGATATTCCCATGTACGACCTGTCAAAGCTGATTTGGCTTATACAATTGTACTTTGAAATATTGACATCTAGGTACCTGTGAGCACAATAATGAGGCAAAGTCAGGAATGATTCAGATGTTATGTCCAGTTAGAAAAGCAGCCAAGATAGTGATTAAAATAAGCAACTTCAACATAGACATAAAAATACAGCATGATAATAAATGTTACCCATTTAATGCTGTTTGTATGCTGCTTAAAAGAGGCTTATCTGCAGAAAATGTTGGGCAGCTGTTTGGCTAAAAATTAGCTTGTTTGTTATCAGTCACACTTAAATGCATGTGACTTGACTGTCAAGTCAGACAAGGTGAACAAGACTTCTGAAGGTAAATTTATGTTGACATGTCTTTCCTTATTGGGCCAAATGAAGCACAAGTCACTGTTTCGAATAACAACAGTACCACTCATAGATAAAGTTTCTTTATATCAATAGTTTGAGCAACTTATAGTTGCACTTACAAGCTGTGCTGCAGTTGCCTGGATTGCAGGACAGGATCCAACATTCACGTGGTTCAGCCTACCACCTTAGCTTGCTGACAGAAGCTAATGTTTTTGCCATATTGTTATCATGCAAATTGAAACCAACATATATTCCTGGTTTCTAGGTAAAATATGACAGCACTTTTTGATGTAAATCGGCGTGTGTTAACTGGCTGTCTCTGTTGTTGTTCTTTGTTCAAATTGAAAACTGTTGTCAAGGAATTTCAGCCAATCGTTATCAAGTACTTCACATAGCCGGGTGATTAGTGAGAAGGATGGGTGAAAAGCCCAAATACATAGATGTTCTTGGCCACCAACCAAGTGAGGAAGAATGGACAACAATGGTACTGACAATCCAACAAACGTAATAGTTCAATGTTTCTGATTTCAGGATAAAAACCCTGTCAAAGAAAATGTAGAAGTAAAAATGTGAAAACACAAATGGTTTATTTAATGCATACCTTTAAACTGAATACCGTACATACTTTATCACCATATTATCTCTTGTTTTGCTAAACCAACCTATAGTATATTACTTTATACTTTCACTACTAAGAAGAAAAGAGAGTCTGTTTAGTTTGTATTTATGAGTTAATTGTGAGTTTACAGTGGAGTTTCCAGTGGTTAATGACAGTATAATTCGTGCATGCTGACACAGACTTTATAAAAAACAAACACGACTGACAGTCAGTGTTGGAGCCCCTCACAGCAATATTCAGCAGATGATGCAGTTCCTCCCAGATTCCAATGAATGTCATCTAAGACCTGTAACATCTTCACTTTCTGAGAGAACAAACACTTCATCAGGTTTAATATGGCTTTCATAGCACAATGCTTTCCCTGCTACTGATCTCACCACAAGTCACTGCTGGCTACAGCCCTGACTGCGTGTTTGTGAGCCAGGGACACTCTAATCCTGGTATTAAACCATTATTTATGAATGATTACACAGTTGTATTAGGCAGCAGGCTATAGGATCTGCTCCCTAAGGCATTACATGTATGAGTCCTTCTACATGGAAAAGATTCAACTCAAACCCCGGGTGTATTCGAGGGATGGCATTGCAAATATGTACAGTGTAATATATACAGCACATACAGTATATGAATTGCAGAGCGGGAGAACGCTGAGGGGGTGGAGGAGAAAATTGGCACAACTAGTCACTACAGTACTGTGAAGAAGGGAGGAATAAAAAGGAGAAGACATAGAAAGGTTTATCGTGTATGCTGGGGAGTGTGCTGTTGGCTTAGGCGAAGTACAGTGTGGGAGTACCAAACCAACTGTAAATGGAAACAAGTACAGAAGTAAAGGATAGAGTGATTGAAAACTTTTTTCTTTTCTTCTAATCAATGAACACCTATTATACTCACTTTCACCTTTTATTATGTCAGTCTGGGATACCAATAAGTGAGTACCGGCGAATTAGCAAAGTGACACGAGAAGAAGGAGAAACAATGGCGACTACATCCTCAAATGATGATGACTAGTCATGGTTGTAAGCCTATTAAATAAAAAGAAAAAGAAAAAATTAAAAGTGTTTGGGTACATCCAATACTGATCTTGCCTTCTACATGGCAGGTCAGTACTGGATGTCCTGTATCGTCGAGATGGTGGAGCGCCACACAACGATACAGTAGCTCAAATTGTATCCCGAGAAATTCCGACAGTACTTCTAAATGTCCCTCAGACAATTTCAAGAACTGTTCCATCAGCTGACTCCACAAAGGACAAACTACAGAAAGCCGATTTATCCAGAGCCACGTCTGAGGTAAGATTTATATGAGGCTTTAGGTTTATATAGCAGTTTGCCCGTGAATGTTCACAAAATTTGCTATGGGGCGAAATAATTAGTCGCTTTTTCGCTCTGTGGAACCGTAGCTGGTGTGAAAGCTTGCATTGACTTTGAGTTTTTTAAAAAAAAGCTAATTATTTGTTTCACAAATTCGCTTTGCTAATTCGCTGGTGTGTAACAACCTATAGAGTAGCTTTGTATGACCTACAGCTCAAAAACTCTTCAGTTATCTAAAATGTTATACTAAGTATAGGTAATTATCTCACATATATTTGTCATGTGGCTTCCAATATTAGATCAGACATCCGATATTAATGAGTGATCTCCTTAAAAACTTAAAGATTACATAACTGAGTGTTGGAACCTACTAGAAATAAGCATTGTGTGGTGTAAGCAATGAAGGAGTATGTGAGTGTTTACAGTTCAATTAAAAGTTTTCACTTTACTTTAACAGTTAAGATTCAGGATTTCCACATTACTAATACAGCTTGGTTTCCATTTGTGAATATAAAAGAACTGCAGAGAAAAGTCGGACTCTTCTGGTGATGTCATTTGAGGAGAAACACTGAAGCTATGAGTAATTAACCAAATGCTATGAATTTAGGAGAGCAGCCATGTTCTGATCCATTGCTGGAAGCTCTGCTTCATTGACATACAACACAAACTGTCTTTGCTTGAAGGGATGAAGCAGCAACCTGTAGGGCTGGAAAACGAGGCCAATGACCGAGTGTGTTTAATTGCATTTCCCCAATTTGCTGTTTGAGGTTTTGGCTCAATAAGTGATTCAACTTTAATAGCAGCTTGGTTTCAAGCAGCTGCTGCAGAAATACATGTTTGCAAACCAGTCATAAAGTGTTCAAGTCTCTACAGCTGATACCGCCATTCATGACTGTTGTTTGCCTTGCATTCAGCCTTAAACAAAATGTTCTATGGCTCCAAAGCAAACCAAGAAGCCTGTTTTCACCAGAGTTCGAATGAGCTGTCACACCACTCCAAACTGGACTATCTGAGAAAATGTGGACCAAACAGGAAACTTAAGAGTAATTGTACTTTATGAATGCTGAGTTTTTAAGATTACGCATCACAAAAAGACAGGGGTCTGCTTAATGCGTACGGACCTTATGTCAAGCTGTTACAATGGTGCTCTTTCATTTAGCAGATGCATCTAAGAGTCAGTATAACACCAGCCAGCAAAGATCAAGACAGAGGGAAGCAACAAAAGTGACACAAAGTGCTTCAAATCCATTAGGACGTAGTGCTGCGGTGCAGTGCTAGAGGCGACACAGAAGGTTTTAAAACCCAAATATCTCTGCAGGTATTAGGATATGCCGTTTTCAGTGTATGTTCATGGCCTTTTCTTGTATTTCTCTCTGACCTATGTGCACATCCAACCAGGTCTGCTGCTCTGTTTCCTGAAATGGAGACCAAGAAATGATTGCTCTCATAATTCTTTGTAATGAAACAGCACCATAGTCGTATCGGCACTTTGCACACTCCTCTCCACACATGCGTTCACATATCACAGATCCACATGTAACAGAGCTGATACTTGAAGTACTGGAGAGAAACTGTGTGGAAAAATGGTTTTATAAGGAAGACCAGGGGGTGAATATATCTATTGAAATGGAAACCAATGAGATAATGAATAAGAGTAGATCATGTTGGAGCAGGCAGCACTAGCCCTGCTCCTTTAATGCAGCTTATACAGCCAGTGGGGAGACGAAAAGACCGGACCAAAGATGGCTTAAATCACACACTCACACACACCCGAGGGTGTGAGAGTGAGAGAAAGGCCAGGGCCGAGTCGGAGGAATTAATTGAGGTAGTTTGTTTCACAGCGGGGAGTCTATTAAATGCCATGTCACCACTGGGCCATGGGGAGTAACACACTAACACTGCGAGGAGGGAGGGAAGGAGGAAGGGAGAGGGGGAGGAGGGGGGTTGTAGTGAAGTCCGATGCCAGTACGAGCCATTCCTCTAAAATCAGCACTCACATCTCACCTCATTCATCTCCCACTCCATCTCTCTCTCTCCCTCTCTTGCTCTTTTCCTTTTTTCCTCTCCTCCTTCCTCCATCGCTCGCTGCCCGGCAGTATTTCCACCGTGTTTTCCTCCCTGCCACCACCTTTTACTTTCACAACCTCCTCTGTTTTCCCTCCTCTTCAGCCCTTTGTTTTACAAATCACCTCCCCACATCCAGAGCAGCTTTTACTGGTGATAAGTTTAGAGTCAGCTGTTGTTCAAGTTTCTTGCTTTATCTATGTTGGGAGCTTAGTATAGCCATATTTTGGTATATACTTGCATCAATTCATGTTTTGTGCAAAATTGTTAAAATTGTTAGGACACTATCAGTCAGCATTGTAATGTAACCTATAAGAGACAAGTATTCTAGCAGCTACATGCTTGCTAAAAGGACAATCAAATGGCTATGCTGTGATTGAAAGTAAGCACTTCTAATGCATTCACTCTTTGCGAGAACAGGACAGATGTTGAAGTTTACCAGAGGGTGTGATTTTAGCTAGCTGTAACAAACTAAATATGCTGGCAGGTTGGAGCTGAATGACCCTACCAAGGATGTGTCCATATATCCGTTTAATTTGTATTAGATAATGAAAACATTTAACTTCCATTATTTCTTTTGAACGTTGTCATTTACATATTATCGAACTTAACTTTAACAAACAAGAAAGACCTACTGGGTTTGCCTGCAGCTGATCTGTTTAGCTGAGAATGAAGACACATCCAAACTCTGTTTTTAATCGGTAAGATTGATTGCAGACAACTTGAGAGAGATCTAAGGGACCGTTCCCATTTAAGCAGCAGAGGCAGGCTGTCAGACTTTTGAAACAGGTTTTAACATTAACTAATGTATCAGTCTGACTGAAACTAGACTTTTGAAGTACAAGTTAACATATTAGTCCGACTGAAAATACCTTATATTTAATTTCTTGTAATCATATCTATCTTGTAATCATACCAGCACTCATGGATATTGTTGTTGAAGATGGAATTTTTCCTTCCATGTATACGCCTCATTTAGACTAACACTGGACTAAAACATTCAATGACTGCGACACAATTTCCATGGGGGGGCTTTGACCATGAAGTTAAACAGCATAAAGAAAGCCAGGTGGTAAGCAAAAACTCCACAGAGAGACACAGCAAAAGACAAAAAAACAAAACAATGACAACGCTGTCCTATTATACATACTAAAGGTGCAAGGCTGCAAAGTAGTGTATGTTTTTATCATCGACATACAACCTATTGAGATTCATTTGTCAATAAATCAGTTCTTGTCTGGTCTTTGTAGACCGTCACAAGACAGTAGCCCAGTCAAGTCACTTAACTGCTTGACTTAACTGTGCATGTCAACATGTAGAGTACTAACTGGTGTTAGTTTTGAACAAAATTAACAGATTCATTGTTATCAAAATGAAGGTCTTTGCCAATGGATTCATACAGGAAGTAAGGCAAGCCCAAAAAACTTCAACCTCAATATTTACGAGATATATGTGAAATACCTTTACTTAAAAAAATACACCCAAAGTTGCTTCTAGACTTGGCAACACTGGCGATGATGCAACAGTTCTTGTATATCATATCATGGAGGCATCTTTTTGGTTTGGTTGAAGCACAAAAACTGCAGGGTTCAGGTTTGAGCAACAAGCCAACGTTAAGGCCCACACAAGACCCTGGCTTTTCTTTGGTCCTGTAACAGTCCTGATTACTCCTATTCAGAAAGAAACACTAGAAACACTCCTGGAAGTTAATTTTAAAGGATATAACAAATTTCTTCATTTTTTTCTTCAGATTTTTTGACTGTCATTGTGTCTGAAAACCAAAACACAGATTGAATATCACTTGAGCTGTTATCTTGGAGAGACCCTCTGGAAACCTTTTTTACTCAGAGCCGTGTGTTATTCTGCAGACCTAACACTGCATGGTTTATGTTGACTCGGTAGATGAGTGGGAGGGAATCCTGGACGGACGCCCAGCACCTGTCTGGAGACTTACCCACAATCCCGCTCTCTCTCCCTCTTTGGAAATATTGACTGGCAAACACTCTGCCCAATCAAATTAATTTTCTGCAAGACATGCCAAAGGTGACGCCAGAGAAAATGGAGGTTACGCGGGGTGGGGATGGAGGGATGGGGAAGCATGGGGGGGAGGTAAGAGGATGGAGACTCAGGAGAGGGAGTGTGTGAAGAAGTCCAAGTTAAGAATGGAAAGAGCTAGAATCAGCGTGAATAAAGAGAAAAATGGATGGTCTAAGATTCGAGAAAACAGATGAAACACATCGAGATTGTAAAATTGTGTCTCCTACTCGAACAGAAAAATGGATCCTGTGATCCCAGAAGTCGTAGTATTGAAATACTGATCAGACTGAAAACACAGATATGATGTACTGGGAATGGTGAAAGCAGAAAACATAACAAAACACTTTTAGGTAAAACTTAATATCATGCTGTGGATGAATGAGGTTTGATCTGTGTATGTGCAGATAGTCAGTGATGTGAAAGATCCTTGGGCTGCTGCGTGTGAACGTATGAGTGAGTGAGTGAGTGAGTGAGTGAGTGAGTGAGTGAGTGAGTGAGTGAGTGGGTGAGCTGGAATTTGTCTTTAGTGAAACAAGATGAAGGCTACAGTAGCAGCTCATCAAAATTTTATACTCAACAAGTCAAGCAAGAAAAAAAATACTGCTCTGAAACCAGAGTTACTCACTGCCATGTTAGTGACAGGTGAGTTTGTAGTATAGACGGATGTTTTTGTGTGTCTATGTGAGTGTGTTGCACCAGAGGTGGACATGCTAGATTGTTGAATTTGAAAGAGAAACTTGACTAACTCATTCATCTTTCATATTTCTCCACAACAAGACAGACCAGGATGTTAAATCAACAAAGTCAGCCTGTGAAGAGTTAAACAGGATGTAGATGATGCTGGTTCAATGTAGTAAACACAGAAGAAGAGTGAGGGACATGTCTTTTTACTGTTAATTATCAGCATTAACTTTTATTGTGGATGTTAAAGCTCCTGTGAGGAGTTTTTAAATTGGACAAAAATTACTTAAATTTGGATTTCAATTTAAAGTCAAAGCTCCTGTGAGGAATTTTTGAATTGTGACAATTTTGGCGCCCCCTTTAGACACAGTAGTCTTTGCTTTTTCGTTTCCTACTTGCTTATGTTCCATGTCTTGTGCATATTTCATATCAAATTTGTACGAAAAGAGATGTTTTCTCAGATGCTCAGCTGACACATACCCTCTCAAACCAGTTTTTGACTTTGGAAATTACAATAAAAATAATGATCAATATTGTCACTAATCGTTTTGTTTGCTTTTATTTATCCAATGAAGATATTTAAATGAATCTCAGTTTAGTTCATTAACATGAAAAATCTCCCACAGGTGCTTTAACAGGCCACATCGACTCTTTAGCATTATCAGTAGTTGCTTATATTAAGTTGAGCCTTATGCTATGACCAATCAAACGCACCTACTTCAAAATCAAATGGCTACCTCTTCTTCCTTTTAGACGACCTTTTACTATCAGCTCCTCTGGGGTTTGGATGCACATATGAGTGTATGCAAGTGTTTGCAAAAGCATGTGTGTGTATTCAGTTGTAAAATCGGAGCACTAGCAGTCAGTAAGTGCTGGGCAGCGCAGAAGCACCCAGATGCTAGATGAGGTAAATAAAAGCTAGCTGAATGATAGATGCTCCGGATGCTGCTGACTTCCTCCCACTGCTGTCCAACTCACTGTGGACACGCACACACATACACACAGAAAGGAGGAGTGTGGACATGTGCATCGCTGTGGTCATTACTCATGTGCTTTTGCAGCCCTGCACCCACACTCCATTACTTTGGTCATTTTATTGAAAGAACAAATTATTTCTAAAACTGTCTGTACGCGCACGTATGTGTGTGTGCATGTGTGTGTGTGCATGTGTGTGTATGTGTGTATGTGTTTTCACGGGGCCATATGCAGGGATCGCTGTAGCAGGCCAGTCCATGTAATTGATTTGGACATGTTGAGAAGAGACCATTAAAGTAAATAGAGGTGTGAAAAAACGGAATGGAGGGGAGGCATCTGTTCATCTCTAAACTGCACAGCAATTACACAATTACAGACAACCCCACCCCCCACTTCGATTTAATCCAACCACCCACCCCAACCTCTGAGCAGACCCGAGTTTCAGCTCTACATCTTTCTCCAGTGGAGCAGAGTCTGGAGACAGAAGGAGGACAGGGGACAGTTTTGAGTATGAGGAGGACGAGGCTACAATGGATGTTCAGTCTTATCATCTGCTAATACTGCAACTGTTGTATCACCCACTCTCATTGCTATGACCAGTGCCACCTCAAGAAAAAGGAATTTCATGTTACAAAAAAGTAGTAATGTTACACAAATTAAGTCATAAAAATGCAAAATATCACAAGAATAGAACCAAGTTTTTTATGAGAATAAAGTCATACTATAGTCATGGCCTATCACCACAAAATAAAGTCATTTTAAAATCATTATACCAGGAGAATAAAGACCTATGAAAGTTGAGCAAGCTGTTTTGTCCACAAGGGGCACCAAAATGGACACTAACCGAAAGTTCTTCACAGGAGCGTTAAGTCACAATAATACAAGAATTAAGCTGTAGTTAAGCCATTGTATTACAACAATAAAGTTGTAGTTAAGTCATAACATTACAACTTACTACAGTTGTGGTAAATTATAACCTATTCCAAGAATAAAGTTATTTGGTAAGAATGAAGTCATTTTTGAGCATAGTGTCTGCTCGCCTGGTAAGCCTCTTCCCAACAGCTGTAACAGGAATGCTGTAACTTTTTCTAACAACAAAACAACTATTTTTGTAACTCTTTTTGCCCACCCTCCATTCTATTTTTTTCTGTAGGTGGAATTGACAGTGAATGCCGTTCAAATCAAGCCCCCACTATTTTCCTCCATCCATGTGTATTTGTCTAACTCTTAGTGTGAGGAGGGCCGTCACCACCAGGCACTGAGTTGTATTACCATGAAAGCCAAGATGTCAAATGTAACAGATCCGTTTCATAAACCACTGCCCGATTGT